CAGTGAAAACTTGACCAGTGTCCATTGACAACTCGTCACTACGCTCAGCATCCTGCATCAGTGAAAAACCTACCATCCAGCTTCTAGAAGGACCTGTTGACACAGCAGCTCAAGGCTTCACCAGTGCTCTGCGCCATTACATTGGTGTGTTCAACTTGGAGTTGGAGCTTAAAACAAAGGTAAAGGTTTTCTGATTGAGGAAGATGGACAAACAACCTCTCAGAGCAAGCTCAAGAGAACATAAGCTAACTGAAAAGTGTAGAGAAATGCAAGAGCAACAAAATAAGAAATTTCATAAAGCCTTTTATAAGGCATATGACTCATGGAGAGTTTACTAGAGAAACAAGGACAAAGCTAAAAACTTTCTGTACAACTGAGGGTCTTGATTAACTGCAGAATAATATCAAAACTAAACAAACTCTAGTGCACAACACATATAAATCTCTTGGTCAAGGTAATGCCACAACCTCAGATGCTGTCAAAAAAATGGATGCTTGTATCGCTTTGTCTGCAGAAACCTGTGATTTGATAAGCAAACGTTTAGAGGAAGTGGATACTGTCTTTAACAACCAACTAGAGAAGGAACGTGTGAGAATGGCGTTAAGTAAAAAGGAGTATGGCTTTATTCTTGGGAAAACAGAAACAGGAACTGTGGTCTCAGACTGTAAGGAAAGCAGAGTATCTTGTTCAACCTCTAGCTCAAAATCATCTAAACTGTTGCTGTGGCCAAATTAGCTGCTAAATTAGCCCAAGCAAAAGCATTGGAGCAAATTCAAGAACAATTCAAGTTGTCTAAACTAAAAGCTGAATGGAAAATTATGGAGGCAGAAATGGCTGAAAGTTGAAGAAAACGCCAAATTACAGCAAATGCAAGCAGCAAAAGCAATAGGTGGCAGCAGCTAGAGTTGAGGCCTACGTGTCATGACTCGAGGTAAGTGTCTAACCCAAGACATGCAGAATCAACACAGTCCAAGCAGTAAAGTAAAACGTCTTTATTATAAAAACGGGAACTGAAACCGCACAGGGAAGTCCTGTGGGATGAGCAATACGACTCGAGTCTCTGAAGTGCTCAGGTTGATGAGGAGATGAGAGGAAGCCAGGAAGGACGCTGGGCAGAGGGTGAGAGGTCCAGGAGAGGCGAGGTAGCAGAGGGAAGCCAAATAGGAGCAGCGGAGGAGGATGGGACGTGATGTGTGTTATCCAGGGAACGAAGACAGCGGAGGTGAGTAGATGAGGAGAGGATCCTGAGTGGAACAAAAACCAGGCGTGAGGGATAATCCAAATCGTAATCCAAAAACACAATCCGAGGTCATAAATCCAATGGTCAAACACGAGTCAAAACACAAACAAACTAGATCAAGGTCAAATGCTGGTGCTACCTAAACTGGTGCAATCATCCGGCAAAGTGATGTGTCTCCATCCTCCTTTTGAACCCGCGTCCCTGATTGGGAAATCTCCTGCAGCTGCCGCTCCCCCTGCTCCTCACCTGTGGAGAATTAGCTTAGAGTCTGGTGAGAGGAGATGGTGTGACTCACCTCTGCCCAGGAACATGACACTACGACCACCATGAAGAAAGCTGGGATTCATCTTGTGAAGAGGTCAGTCTTCATGAGGTATCAAATCTAGGTAATAAACTTTCCAACTTGTTGTAAATCGGTTACCTGTATCAGAAACACCAGTTTTTTCAGGAGATCCTTTAAAGTTCATTGATTAGAAAATACCTTTCATGGCGTTAGTAGGCTCAAGAGCTCTTCCCACGTATGAAAAAATTTTGTTTTTAAAGAGTTATGTTGCAGGAGAAGCACGTAAGGCAAAAGGGTTTTTCTACAGAGATTCTGAAGAAGCATATAAGGGGGCCTGGGATATGTTGCAAGAAAGTTGTGGTCCATTTGTCATTCAGAGGGCTTTCAGAGGAAAAACTGAGGAAATGGCCTAAGGCTGCTAATGATCTCTCTGCTCTCAGAATTTACAGATTTTCTTCAAGGTTGCGATGAAGCTTTTCCACATGTCAAAGGCTTAGCCATACTGAATGACTGTGAGGAGAACCACACGCTTCTCCAGAAACTACCTGAACATATTGTACAGCGATGGAGTCGTATTGTTGTAGAAGAACTGGACAAATGTCAACAGTATCCTTCATTTTCCCATTTTTTAGAGTTTCTTCAGAAAGAGGCTAGAATAGTTTGTAACCCTATTGCTTCCCCCTTTCTGTTTAGCACAAAATGTCAAGAGGATAGGTGTCCTCCAAGAACCTGTGTTTCATACCACAACTCAGTCGAGTCCACCAGCTGCAAGGGATGCATCTCAGACATTTAAACCAAGGACCCCTTGTCTAGTCTGCACAAATGAGTTGCATGGTGTTGCAGAGTGTCCAGCCTTTAAGGCAAAACCCATAGATGAAAGGAAGGCTTTCATAAACCAGTATTTTCTTTGTATTGGTTTAAAAAAGGGACACACTACCAAAAACTGTAGGAGACTTGTATGTAGTATATGCAACAAATATCACCCAACATGTATGCACACGGAGAGTAATGAGGAATCAACACCAAGGTTGAACACAAAGGTATCTATGGAGCCAGTAAAAGAGGAGGTACATCGTGTTATGTCTCACTCTGACATGGTGCACCTCTGCCACCTCAAGCATTGTTCCAGTTTTTGTATCTGCAGCAACCGAACCAGAAAGAGAGAGATCCTCACTTATGCCTTACTTGACACTCGGCAATTCCAGTTTCATTTTGGGAGATTTAATATCAATGAAATGTTAACTCTCAACCAGTACAGCTCAAGCTTAGCACAATGACAGCTAGAGACACAATGGTGGCAAGTAAAACCACTGAGGGCCTACAGGTTTGTGGTTTTAATCTCTCAACACTAGTCCAACTACCAAAGGGCTACACAAGGGATTCCATTCCGGCAGTTAAGGAAGTCCTAACACCCCCCCCCCCCCCCCCACACACACACACACACACACACACCCCACCCCCAGCTTCAGAGGTGTTGAAGGCCTTGGAAAAAGACTAATGATGAAACCTATCATGATAAAATAGTCTCTCAAGAGGATGTTAATTTTGTTCAGTTTGTTCTCTCAGTTAACATCACTCAGGACAGTGGACGCTCCCAGATGCCCCTGCCCTTTAAAGGTACAGGACCTGCCCTACCCAACAACAAAAGATTAGCTGTCATTCGCCTGCAACATCTTAAGAAATGTTTAAAATCGAGGGAAAGATGGCCGCGGGTAGGATGGCTGCTTGATAGCCGGGCTCTCACGTAACTTCAGCCTTTTGATGCTTTTGGGTCACTATCAAGCCTTTTTTATTGCTCTCAGAGGAGTTTACAACATTTTTAAACAATATAAGTGTGGATAAGATGCCAAACTACAAGAAAAGCACCACAGGGGCGCCACTGCAGCAGATACTGTTTAAGGCTACCGCTAATGCTAGCCCCAAAATGGCCCAGCAGACGGGCTCGACAGACGACTTCACCACGGAACCGGATGCCAGAATAATGCAGCTCCTTGAGAAGCTGGCTGTGGACCAGTCAAAGATTTTGGAGGATCAAACGAAGAATTTCGCCGATATCGGGAGCCAACTGGTGGAGACGCGGAGAGCGGTCTCAGCCTTGGAAGGGAAGCTAGCTGATGTGCTAACACGGGTAAACGGGAGGCTCGCTTAGACGCGCTGGAGGAAACAGAGAAACAGCGGGGAGAATCCCCCCCCCCCCCCCCCCCCCCCCCGGTGACAGCCACTGATGCTGAAGCTCTAACGTTGAAGCTGGCTGCTATCTTCGGCTTTCCCGAGAAGGCAGAGGGCAAGGATGCTTTTTCCTTTCTTAAGAAAGTGCTTCCAGAGATTCTAAACAGCCAGTTTGAAGGGGGCCTGGAGATGGAGCAGGCACACAGATCGATCGCACCACTAAAGCCTGGAGCTCCCACGAGGCCCTTGGTGGTCCGCTTTTTGAGATTCCAGGAGAAGGAGTTGGTGAGGAGAATTGCTAGGGAGATGGGGGACGTGCGCTGGCAGGACTGCAAAATCATCTTCTACCAAGACTTCTCCAGGGCAACGCAGGCACGTCGTTAGTCCTTTGCGGAATGTAAGCGCTTGCTCCATCAGGCCAACATCCCATTCGGGATTGGATACCCGGCCTCGTTGTTCTTCACAGCTCCTAACGGGACTAAGCATCGTTTTGAAGACCCAAGGAAGGCAACACAATGCATCAAAAACCTGAAATGAGCATGGTCTAATGGGTAATGT